TTTCTTATGGATTGCTTATTAGGTGATTGCTGAGCTGACCAATGGAGGAGTGGACAGAAGCATTGAATGTACTGGAAATGTTGAAGCCATGATATCTGCGTTTGAATGTGTCCATGATGTATGTTCCTAATCCTTTGGCTCCATGTTTCTCTCTTTTAAGTTTTGATGTGATCTTGTTATGATGAACACAAAAATTCTACTCCAGGGTTGGGGTGTTGCTGTTCTTGTGGGAGTACCACACAAAGAGGCTGTCTTCAAGACGCATCCCGTGAACTTTCTGAACGAGAGGACTCTCAAGGGTACCTTCTTCGGAAATTACAAGCCTCGATCCGACATTCCCTCTGTTGTGGAGAAGTACATGAATAATGTAAGCTAGCTAAAGCTGAAGCTAATTTTCATTGATGCTCTTTTTTCAATTTTATGTTATGAGTTGCTGTGTAAGTGCTACACTAGTTTTATTTATGCACACATCAATTGAATTGGAAACTCCCACAATGTTGCAGGAACTTGAGCTGGAAAAGTTCATCACCCACAAAGTCCCATTCTCAGAAATCAACAAGGCATTTGATTACATGCTTAAAGGGGAAGGTCTTCGATGCATAATCCACATGGAGGAATGAAAGCTTCATCCTTGATGTTTGTGTCCGCACATTCTAATTTTCATTTTTTTTTACTCGTCTTTTCTTTTTTGAAAATTTTCAAATTTGGTCTGCATATGTAATGTAAGAGAGTGTGCGAATCTGTTTTTTTTTTTTCTTTTCATACTGTTTATGTCCGAGCTTCTGTTGGACAGTTGCTGTGTATATATTAAATGAATGAATAAATAAATAAATAAATAAATTTATTCAACCTCCTTGCCCCTTGATGTGTACAGCCTTGAAAATGCACTTAATTTGCAATATCTGTTGACAATTTTGAGCAGCCATATTGATCAATGTGTAGGAGAAATAAATCTCTATCAAGCCTAGCTAAAACCAGTGAAACAACAAATTAAAACCAAGAAAGGTACTTCCGATTTCCAAGTACAGGTAAAACCAGAACTGTTATTTGCAAATCAATCTATTTTTGTTGTTTTGAGAGTGATAATGGGAACATATGAGAAAAAGAAAGATGACGAGAACATATTTAAAATTGTTTTTTTAGTTTTCTTTTTGGGGTTCTGTGTCTTAGTTTTCATTTTGTTTCGCCTTCCATTTGTCTGCCCTCTCATATTTCCTTCTTAATTGATGAATAGGCTAGAAGTTAAACAAAAGTCTCATTAAAAGGGCGCTTAGCATTGCATTGAAAGATAACAATTGTCACACTCAATAGACCTGGGGTGGATCTTTTAATCAGTTTCACATGGAGAGAGACACAGACAGAGACAGAGACAGAGACAGCACTCAATTGGATCTTTGCTTCCAAAAATTGGAAAAATTAGAAAAATCAATAATAATTTACATTTTGAAACTTTATTTGTTCCCAACAAATTACTATTGGCCTAGTTTTGACAAAATAGCCAAGTCTAATATCTTAACATCAAGGGTGTCATCCACCTTGACAATTCCATCCGTGCCATCCACACCAATCAGCTTACCAGTGACACCACGTAACGAGCCACCCATAATCTTGATCTTATCATTTTTCCTTGGCACGACTGCCTCCATTTCATTAGGCAGCGCCGTTATAGTTTCCCCATTGCCACTTGACCCTATAACTACCCTACAGGAGCCATCCTGAACCACCAAACAGTATATACTTAGTATCTCAAATAATAATCACACAGGTAGGTACTTCAAACAATATTTGTTAGTATCTATTTTGATGAGAGATAAACATTGCAACGAGATCATTCTAGAATCAGCAACATCAACTACAATACAATGTATATAGCAGCACATGCACACGTAAAGAAATTTCAACGGCACATCATTCATGATTCGCATAGCCACCCTTGTTACCCTCGACAGAAATAACTCAGGCGCTTCAGCGATAACTTACAAGGCCCTCCCAAGTTACAATCCAAAACAGTTCTATAGGCCTGTTCATTTATCTTTTGTCCTACTACACCATATCTCAACAGGAGTTACAAGCGTGTATAATATTATTTCTAGATTTTCATTTAGTAGAAATCACCAAATCCTTCATGTTCATATCCTTTGCAGGTCCAAATATCATTGTACATAGTAAATATCAATAGAGAAATTTAAAAGGAGAACGATTTAAGGACATACCGGGAGCACTTCTCTGACAACTCCAGTAGTTTCCTCTCCAGAATTGCGTACATTGACCAATATGTCCGGCATGAACCATGGTCCCTCACTGTCCCCACCTGATACAAGATGTTAAGATTAGAACTCAAACAGGGGTATAGAGCTCTAGCAAAGCAATGACTAGGGATATTATATCACATAAATAAATCAGATTTCAAGTAACACTATATTCCTCTCATGTCCCATCAAAATATATTTTCTCCTGTTGGATAAGTAAACAATTCTATGAACCAAAACGAAGTGCCCCAGTACACAAACAGGAGCAAATAATAGGAAGCCAAATGCGAAAGAGGACAACAGACTACAACCACTGGACTGTAATTTCTTAATCCTTAAGCGTAATTCATTTCCCCTGCTTCCATAAGCACCACATAATACAGTAAATGATTTAAAGATTATATGCAGACACTTTATTAGAGTTGATTCGTATCAAATTTGAACTTAACGTTTTATGTAAATGTCAGGATTTTTTACTATTAGGCCCTGTTTGGTTTGCAGAGGCTTTGGAATGGGCATTCTTAGGTATGTGATACCTGTTACATAGTTATCCCATGAAGGGAGAATCTAAAACCATTGGGCACCACTTGGGTATGCAATTCTTTGGCCTTGAAAAAGCATTATTGTGTTTTGTATGAATAAATTACCTCCCTTATAAGTCAAAAATACCGCTTTGTCTATTAAATAAAAGGGTATTATTGGAAAATAAGAGTTCTAAACCAGGTCACAACAGGGGAAATAAGAGTTCTAATCAGCACAGTGACTTCATACTGGTTTAAAATAGAAAACCTGAGTCTCATACCTATAACAGGAGACATCATATCCAGACCACCAGTGCCTGGTGTCATTGGTTGCCCCCCAGGAGTTCCAGGAAGATAGGATGCCGAGTTTGGTGTCATAGGCTGCCCACCCGGAGTTGATGGCAAGTAAGGGCTAGGAGCATTTGCTGCAACAGGGATACAAAATGAGAGGAACTCAAGGGGATCGTAAAAATGAAAAAAAGAAGTCAGCACACAAATTTTTAAAAGAATGAAAACTAAAATTGTACCATAAGCAGAACTACTGTCCCTTGGTGTGCCAGCTTCACTATAATTTCCACCAGGAGTGTTAGCCCAACCAGAACCAGGAGTTGGTGCTTCATACGCTCGTGATGGAGGACTTCCTGGCTGAAAACCGTAACATTACAGCTACTTAATACAGAAAAAAGACTAAAGCTACATCTATGAGGACATCTATGCATTAGTTACTCACCTGATACTGTGGGCTCGCACTCCAAGAAGCAGGGTTCCCATCCTCCCAGTTATCCCTGATTTTTTTACAATCAAGGTTCCAAGAAACATCAGTGAAAACAAGCAGACTTAGCTTTTTATGCAGCAGTTATCTGACTAAATTATAAAATCTTTGAGTGGTTAAAGATATAACAGTAAAACCACAATTTGAGAGCCCCTTATGCAACGGGGCGTGGTTGAGTAGTAAAGTAGCATCCCTTTAGAGTCCTAAAATAAATCTGTTTCCTATGAGGAATAGATAAGCCCTATGGAGTATTAAAGTTTAATTAATGAAATTCAGCAGCAGGGTAATGACCATAATTATGGCTCCTCTTTTCCTCCTGTGAGGGCTAATGAAACTGAGTGCCAAAGGTTTCTTTATTCTCCTCTCTGTTTTTCTTGTTAACATTCACACTACTCTGATCACATCTGCACCAACATACTAGTCGTGCCTATTTGCTAACCCAAGCCATTTCTATTGGTTACGGAATTAAAGCACCCGGGTTTTACCCAAAATGCCTACATCACCCCATTTTGCACACAGAAGTATTATACTTGTTCTGGTCAAGAATTATACTGATATGAAAAAGGTGAATTATGTTGCATAATCATAATGCTATTTGGAACACAGATAAAAGTGTTGTGACAAAGTGCATTATGTCAAAAAAAACAATGTATCTGTGTAAAGGTATCATGATGTGAAAAATGAATACTTTTACATCAGGTAATGTATTTGTTAGACATTCTTTTTTTTTACTTAATTCGTACCCTTCGTATAGAATGAAATTTATCATATTCCAAAGTTGGAAAGAATTTGAAAAAGAAATGATGGGAGTAAATTCCAATTTTTGTTATGTATTTGTACTTTATCAGTGTTTAATTGGGATCTAGCTTGACTTTCATTTTGAAGTCTATAAGGATGTTACTGAACTTTTCATAACAAATCCAATGGACTAGGTCAGACCAAGAAAAGAAATAATCCTACTGATTAGCTTTTGGAATATAAAAGATCCCTTAATTCATTGCATTCCACACCAGCATTCTCCATAATAAGAGTGCAATCTAGAAATCCTTTACTTACAGGTCTGATTTGACTTTTCGTATCTTCCATTTTCCAAACTTTTGTTACAGATCTATGTTTTTTTTTCCCGGTTTTTAATCACATACCTAAGTTGTTTCATAATACAATAATAACACACATCCCTGCAAATATTGTAGATTATACAATGATTATCTGAAATGGTGCAAGCCATGAGAACTGGCATAGCACAAGGAAAATAGCTCAGAGCAGTTAATCATGCAAGCCATGAAATCTGGATATACGATTCATCCCTGAATAAAGAAAGAGTTTCCATTTTATTGACGCTGAAACAATCTTCTACTTGATTTAATGAACTACGTTTGATAGGAATTATTTCTTCAACCACTCGCTTTTGAAAGAAATAAATTACTTTAATGCCATTGAAACACTAACCTTGCTGGACTCATAGGTGCATACGGATTCCATGCTCGGTCACGCATAGGAGTCCTCATGCCATCATGAATAGGTGTTGCTGCAAGGAGTTCCAAAGATGAATAAATATATCAGTCATCTAACATATGCAAAAAAGTTTCATTTTTATAAGATCTTCTTGACTGTTATCCAAAAAGTCCAATAATGTATATTGGACCTTTTGAGGAAATTATAGACCCTGGGGTTGGTCAACAAAAATATTATTTTCCCAATGTTACTGCCAGAGGATACAGTCCAAAATAATAATTAAGTACTAGAACTCATACAAAACACTACGTTTTCTTAAAAGGCAAAAAACAAAGAAACAAACCTCCAGCATCCCTCATAGGAGTCATATATGGATGGAGCGGAGTTCTAGAAGGATGCATTGGGGTCTCGCTTCCCATACCATAGCGAGATGTATCACTGGAACACATTTAGATAAGAATTGGAAATAAGCATAAGCTAAGCTAAAAACCAAGAGGAAAAAGAACTGAAGTGAAATTTATAATTACCGATATGGTGTTGTAATAGCAACATTATCAGAAATACAATTACGATCAACTGCAAGCATGAAAGAGGTGTTATGGCCCATAAGATGCATAAATAACCAAGGGGACAAGAAACCCAACATGTAGACTTGCCTGTAACAACCTTCATTTGGGACTCCAATTCAACCCGTACATTTGGTCCCTTAACCTCAACAACACGTCCACGATAGCCCTTATAGGCACCCTGGCGAACCTTTACTGTAGTCCCAACCAAGCCATCATGCCCTCGTCCACCTCTATTCCTT